TGTGTAGGGGTAAGTGTGTGAGTATGTATGAGAGTGTGTGTGAGTATGTAAGTATGTGTGAGAGTGTGTGGGTATGTGGGTGAGTGTGTGAGTGTGTGGGTATGTGGGTGAGTGCATGTGGGGTCTGTGCATGTGCACCAATATATTTATCCATCTAGGTAGGCTTGAATACTTAAGATACATCACCTACCTTACTATGTCACCATCTTATTTTTCTTGAACATCTACCCCTAAAAGTGAAATATCACTTTGACTCATAAACTTATGGTATTTTCCACCAAATGAAACACACTGTGAAATAAGTGTCTCCTCCTCAGGGCCCAGTGATGGATGGATGTTTTGTGTCCTTAGTTAACATACCCATTGGTTTGTCTACTGTCTACTTGAGTGTCTGATGTGCTTTGAACACAGTGGGAGTGACTGACACCCCCACCAGGAATCAGGAGCGGCCCTAGGAAACAATGGGAACTCAGAGCCTGTCCCCAGGACATAGTTCAAGGACGTGGTGAAATCTGGGGCCAACCACGTCTCTGGAGTCTCACTGCATTGGCTTCTCTTTAGATGAGCTTCGGAAAAAAGGGGGAAAAAAAAGTCAGAAAAGGACTTATGTCAGAATCCACGAGGCGTGGATCTCAGAAACACCCGTTTGATGGGATATTATTTCTTCAAACAGAGCGCATTTAAATCTGATCTGAAAAGCCCAGCGGTAAGACTTGGACCAGTTTGTATTCCGTTCATTCGAAGGCTCTTAGCCAGGCTGCCCATAAATTCCATCTTAAGAGCTGCCCCAAGTTTCTCCGGAGACGATGCTGAAACCACCCTTCTTCAGAGTGCTTTTGTGCAAGCTGAAGTGTCCCCCGCGCTCTCATCTAAGCCTTCCCCCCAGCACACGTGAAACGCGGCAGGATTGTCAGGCTACCAGACGGTTTTATTCCTGCCTCATAAAAATATTTCAAAACCTGGGGGAGCTTTATGAAACCTACACTCATCAATTCATACTCTCTCCGATTTAGGGACCCGTGAGACACATCACAAGGCAATTACGGGTGTTCGTTTTGAAGCAAACAATTCTGTGGCGGATGCTTCATTATCCGTGAGTGAGTGATAGGCTAAAAACTAATGTCCTGGGGGCAGAGAGAAGGCTTAGCAGTAAAGAACACCTGCTACTCATCAAGGACCCCTAATTCCATTTCCAACACCCATGTAGGGTGACCCCCTTACATGTAACTATCTCCATGTCCTCTTCTGGCCTTGCCGGGCACTGGACACACCTAGTGTACACACACACACACACACACACACACACACGCATACAAATAAGAACAGATCTTTAAAGAATCAAATAAATCCTGACCTCCCTCTCTCTCTGAAACTGGCATGGATTTGTGAGCCTGTGTGTATTTCTGGCTGTGAGTATAATACATGTAAATTCTTCTTCCTTTCTTATTCTTTTTTTTTTTTAAGACAGGGTCTTATGCTGCAGTCTATGCTGGCCCCACATCACATTCATGACAGGGCTCCTGCCTCCTCCTCTGTGAGGTAGGATTTTAGTGTGAGACACTCTCCCGGCTTTTTATAAATAAATTGAAGACTGTTACACAATGGTCAAGTATAAAAGTGTGTTTTGGCACCTCCCCCATCTCCTGGAGATGTCAGGAAGCTCTTCCCACCCCACCCCAGCCTCCTTTTCTCCTTTAGGAGCAGAGCATGTGGCATCTGAGCTCACTGGCAAACGGCTCGCACAGAGTCCAGGGGTGGGTGGGCGGCTTCAAAATCCTTCTCAGGGTACTCGATTTCTTTTTCTGAAATGGTCAATATCACCTTCCTTGTCTCCAAATAAGTTAAACATCTTCACCTGCTTCCCTCTGGTCTTCTTTTTAAATCACATCTCTGATGGGACACATGAGGCTTCTTGGAGCCTATGGCTCCTTTGGTGCACTGTGGTTGCAGACCCCCTCCCCAATCCCCAAGCCTCAGTACCATCCTTCTTTAATGAAGAGTGGGGATGTGTTCATGTTTGCCATGCAATGCACTTTGCACACATCGAAGGTTCTGGGGACACAGAGTATGCTGAGCGCACTGACAGTGGCCTTCTTACCATGTGTGGTACCTTATTCTCTTCCTGCATCCTTATGTGATAAGCATCCAAAGGGGCTAAGACCATCTCAGCTCAGAGACCCCTTCTGACTCTAGAATGATCTTGCTTGAAGCTGGCAGAACTAAGGGCATGTTGGCTCTCTGCACATGAAGGAACAATTCCTGTCAGTGGCCAAGCAGCCTTCGTGTTCTTGCTTTCTTGAGAAATTAGTGTGCACATGTGTGTCTTCTTGTGCATACAGGTCGCATGTCACACACCAAGTTAAGCATGTGTGGAGAGAAGAGTGCTCTAGGACCAAGCCCAAAGAGACCTGCAGACTGCCTTTCCCTATCTGCAGGGACTGGGGATATCTGCTGGGCTTTATCCTAGGGAATTGAGCAATGTCTGAGATTAGGCCTTCAGACACACCCACCCACACCTGGAGTGGAGACATCTAGATACTGCCCAAAGGGCTGATTAACGACAATGCAGAGCCGATAATACATATCCAGTGTGAGTCAGCTAAAGGGGGCTGACATCAAGTATCTGGGACCTCAGAGCAGACAGTGACGTAATCCAATAGATAAGCATTTCTGGCAAAGTGCCACATTTGTGTGGCCGTATGTAAACATAACCTTGAGGTCAGAGGACAGTGTCTTTACCAGCCTGTTGGTGCAGACGGTGTGGCTTACGGAAGCAGCAGCCCCTTCTAGCAAAGTCACATATGATGACATTCCCACTCGACCTGGCCCTTTCCTGTTTGTCCTGTGCCATAGATGGAGGAACAAGACATTTGCACAAGCCGTAATTCTTCCCTTTTTTCCCCTAAAAGAAGACTAGCACAATCCTACTGCCCAAGCTGACTTTCTCAAGGACGTGATACTCCTTTCCTATAGCTTGGATGCATCTAGTAACAACCAGCATCTACTGTGTGTTTTGTATAAGGTACCGACTGATGTTTTATCCACAGTTCTTCGGATACGGTTCAACCCCGTAATGAGACTTCTTAGATAAGTTCACCCAGGTTTCTCACATGGGCCTTCCTGGGAATAACCAGCAGAGGAGGGGTTGGTTTGTTTGGTTGTTGTTGCTGTTTAACAGACAAAATCGGAGTCCAGGAACCCAATCAGTGTCTGCACCACTAAAGGACAGCTGTCTCTATACTCATATATATCTAAATCAGACCATCTGTCATACTGTCACTTCTGCTACTGTGACAAAATACACTGACCAAGAGCAGCTTAGGGAATAAAGGGTTTATCTGACTGACAGGCCAAGGCATGGTCCATTATTGTGGGAAAGTCAACACAGGAACTTAAAGCGTCATAGCCACAGTTGGGAGCAGAGAGAATAAACATCCAGGTCTCTGCTTGCATGTTACTCAGCTGCTTTCTTCACTCTCATATGTTCCAGGGCTGCCAGCTTAGGGAATGTTGCTACCCTAGGTGGGATGGGTCTTCTTACACCAATTGAGATAATTCCCTACAGACATGTTCACAGGTCAGTCTAGTGTAGACAACTCATTAGTAATTCATTAGTCTCTCTTTCTGAGTGATTCTAGGTTCTGTCAGGTTGATAGTTGAAGCTAACCAGTAACACCACTACTTATACCCTCTTCTCCAGTTGGAATCCTGAGGTGTGTGTGTGTGTGTGTGTGTGTGTGTGTGTAGGTCAGTTCCAGGGACTCATTGCAATGGTCCTATTCTTGCTTATTAAATGATTTTATGGCAGGGCCTTGAGCAAGGTATTGGGAATAGCTGGAGTGAGATGGGTGATACGTGCCATCGATGAGCCTGGCAGAGGGTAAGGTATACATTAATCAAATAGCTATACATGTGGACAAATGGCCACATATCATTTGATGACAGGCTTTTCTGAGGTACAAAGCATCAGAGATCATGGTCAGACACAGCCTCTTGGTGAGATCTAGAAACAGAGTGTAAACAAGACACACAAGGCAGGCAGCATTGAGAGATTACAACGAGGCTGAAGAAATTCCCATTGCCTAGTATGGCAGTAATGTGCAGACAAATGTCTGTTCACTGCAGATAAGACCAGCCATGGCTGGAAAGAGCAAGTCTGCCCCAGACTAGTTTGTGTGAACCAAAGAGTTTATTTGGGTTACTTACAGGAAAAAGGGGGAGCGCCATACAGCCACATCACAAAGGATTCTCACCCTGGCACGGATGATGGTTTCTTGATAGAGACTGGAGTCATCCTTCTGTGTGCTGTATTCTCACACAGCATCTTCTGGGATCACATGCAGCTGGGATGGAGTTCCATATATCTGGGAGGATAGTATGGGGAGGTGTGCTGAACTCAGATGATCCTCCTCACTCTCTCCTATAAGGGGGCTCTATTGGGTTCCCCCTTGTTGAGGGTCTCCTGAATTCCTTCAGGAAATCACAACTACTCTGAGTAGAGTGTCAGTGGCTTGGGAGAACATAGTTCATTTAGTAGAGTGCTTGCCTCATGTGCACAAAGCCCAAGATTCCAACATCATACTTCACGCTACCAAGCATGGTGATGCTTGCCTGGAATCTCAACAGTCAGAGATAAAAGTGGGAGGATTAGAAGTCCAGTTCACAGTGAGTTTTAGGCCAGCCTGTGCTTCAGGTGACCCTGTATCAAAAACCAAAACTGAACCATAAGATCGACAGTGACAGTTGTGCCCGGAGGTTAGCATTCTCCAACAGCTAATGGCAGCGTGGCTGTCATAAATTCCCCAGTGCGGATCATACAGGTGGTAGAACACACCATATGTTCAGCCCAGCGGAGAACTGCGGCCCTTGCTCAGTGCTTGCCTTTTGTAGTTTATAGCCAAAGGCTCTAGGTGCAGAGATGCTCTTTCTTGTGTGTGAAGGGCACTCTGTGATGGAGGCAAGTCTCCACATTTCTCAAGCCACCCGCTGTCTCTCTGCAGGAACCATGGAGCACACAGCACATCCCAGCACTGTTCTCGGCCTTCTGTGGTCTCCTGGTTGCACTGTCCTACCATCTGAGCCGGCAGAGCAGTGATCCCTCTGTGCTCCTGTGAGTAGCTGTCCTGTATTCTCTATGTGTGTAAATGAACATCCACACATCTGTGAGTGTTGAGGTCAGAGGTCAACCTCGAGTGTCATCCCTCTGGTGTGCTTCACCATTTTCTTTTGAGACATGAGTCTTAGACTGGCAGGGAGCTTGCCAGTTAGGCTAGGCTGACTAGTGAGACCCAGGGTTCCATCTCTCTGGCACTGAACTATAAATGTGTGATACCACAGTCAGGATTTTTACCTGAGTTCTGAATGTCTCCAGTTCCCATGGTTCTTTCTCTCCTGTGCTATGGGTGCACTTCCTGCTGCTCACTGAAGCAGATATGGCCATTTGGTGTTCTATGCCCTTCAATGCTTACTTTAAGCAAGCTGGCTGCATACAGGGGTAGAGAAATGCAGGCCTGAACTGAAGTGATTGAAACTCCAGGGCAAACTTCCAGCCAGATTCTACCTTTGAGCTCTGTGTTTATAGTGAAACTCCCAGGGAGCTGAGTGCCCCAGCCCTGGGTGAACTTCTCTTGCTGTACTATAAGGAAAGCTGTAATCACAGATGGCCTCACTGGGTGGACAGAGTCCCCACTGTTGTCTCACTCTGGAGGTCACCCTGTGGAAAGGAGACCCACATCCCACAACAAAGCGGGCTTTGTTTTACTTTATTTGTTCTGGTACAACCAGAGTCTCATATGTGTGCCCAACCTCCGAGCATACATAATAGTAATAACAACCTAATGAATTCAAAAGCAAAACATCATCATGATCTCCTGAGTGTGTCCTGAGCTTTACAGTGAGGTTCGTGTCAAGACCTTAAATGATAGCTATTGTAATCACTGAAGTATAGATCTGTATATGGGGACTGGAAAGCCTCTGAACAATGTCAACGTGAGTATCAGATATTGATAACAGCATGTCCTATAATCTGACCGAAATTATTGATCTTAACTTTTGACTTAAAGTAACTCTGCTGAGAGTTACAGATACTGAAGTATTGGACGGGTAGATACCTTAGGGTGAGAAGCATAGAAAAATAGGAAAACAGAGAAGAAGCTAAACATGATTTTTAGTGTCAAATGTGTGCCTGGATGGTTACCTTTTGCTGGTAATGTTGGTGAGGCTGTAGCTCAGTGGGTTAGAGGGAACAGGGGATCCCATTGTGATGACAGAGTACTGAGACCCTTAGGGTGCCTGACCATTTTTGTCAGGATGAAATTTAAGAATTGAAACATGGGCCAGTGAGAGTACTCGGCTGGGAATTGGCTTGCCCAGCCTGAGTGTGATTCCCAGAACTCACATGACGGTCGGAGGGGAGACTGACTCCACAGAGTCCCATATGTGTGCCCACGCCACGCACACACATATAATAGTAATAACAACCAAATGAATTTAAAAATAAAACCTCCTCATGATCTCCTGAATATGTCCTGGTTTTACAGTTGGCTTGGTTTTGCTCCTTGTGGGTGTGAGTCCTAAAGATCTCATGGCCTAAGACACATAGTTTATAAATAACAGCCGGTGTGTTTTTTCCACTCTTAGGTCCTTCATTCAGTGTAGACTGCTTCCTAAATGTTTACATCAGAACCTGGAAGAGTCAGCTACAGACCCTCTCCCTCAGAGGATGAAGGATTCAGTGGTAAGACCTCAGCATGCATGGAAAGGCCGCCTGATAAGAGGAGACCTTGCTTGTCTGAAGGGATGAAGCTGCCAGGATCTAGCTAGCTAGCTAGCTGCATCTGGAAAGGCAGGAGGAGGCCCCTGGGTCCAATCCAGACTTACCTCCCAGGACACTTGAGCTGCCTGGCCTGGACCAATCTTTGGATTATCTCCAAGGTATATGTTGTTCTAGAGATCAGGGTAACCAATGGACCTCAGCTGGTAGGTGGTGGCACTTTGCCTGGATATTATCATGAGGTACATTCATCAGTTCTGTCCATCATTGGTACCAAACAGCAGATGAGGTCTGTCTAAATAAAATCTCATCACAGAAACCCACAATTGGCCTACTGTAGGCAGGTAGGCCTGGCCTGTGAAAGCTAGCTAGCTAAGCAGGAGCCTACCAAGACCTGCTCAGCTTAGGGCCCATAGGTAGAGACAGTAAGGGACTGAAGAGAGGACACACAGACATACATGCAGTGAAGCTGGGATCGGGTAGCTCTGTAATGCCACCACCGCAACCCAGAAGCTCAGTGTTTAGTTATGTACAGCATGGCAGGCTGGGGAGCTAGTCCCAGCAGGAGAGCTCTGCAGAGGAGAAGTGTCAGCCTGTAAGCCTCGGGATACAGGAAGCCACAGTTGCTAGCATCTGTACACACTAACCAATCATTCCTAAACACTGATACTCAAGGCTTCTGAGGAAAGCGTTGCCATTCCTGAAGGAAATCAGGGTGGTATCTGAGGACAATTGAGTGTGTGGTGGGTGGGGTAAGGACACATCAGTGGTAGGTAGGGTATCCCAGGAGCTGAAAAACAGAAGATGCTGCTGGACGGTGAAGCTAAGCACTCAAAATGAAGGAAGACATTAGCCTTTCAAGCAGCGCGTGTAGCCTACCTGCGACTGTTGGGCAAGGGGTCTTGGGACAAGACTTATCCCCCAACCCCCATAGGTTTCTGAGAGAATCTATGTCTCCTAAGTCCTCCTTGATGTCATGACTAATGGAGATCTGTCACCACTCTCATTTATTCCAGTAAAATCAACCTAGCAAGCACAGGGCGATATATATGATGACAAATTTGACCAATAGACCCTGATAGCACGCCCTTAGTGTGGTCAGAGGCTAGGAGTTACCTGTCGCTTTCTTTGCTCTTCATGGTCTTTTAAGAAAATCATTTATACATTTATTATTGGGCGGAGGAGAATGGGTACATATGTCACAGTGTACCTATGGAGGTCAGGGGTCAACTTTGTGGAGTCGGCTATCGCCTTCCACCTTTACATGGATTCTAGGGATTGAGTCGGGGTCGTCAGGTTTGTCTGGAAGACATCTTTTCTCACTGAGCTCTCACTGCCTCCCCCACCCCCCATTTCATGCTCTCGTATAAGCTTTATCTGTCGGAAATTCTGACGTGTTAGGTGAGAGAATGGGTTGTTTGTGTTCATCTCTCCGAGGAGTCCCTGTCTAATCATAATATTTCCATGGGATTATGAGATCTGCTTTCATAGGCTGGCTTATCCAACCTTTGCTTCAAGTTAAAAAAAAACAGAAACAAACAACAACAACAACAAAACCCCTGCCTTCTGTCTCCCGTCCCTGTGGTCCGTTTTTTTTCTGTCTGTCTGCCTCTCTTCTAACTTTGGTTTGTATGAGAATCTCTGAGGACCTTCAGTAGACAGTGTTTTTTTCATAGTGCCCCTGCCCCATCTTGACTCATTTGGCCAGCTCTGGGTCCTGGGTATAGACGTTTTAACCAGAACACCTCCCTTTTCCAAGATTGTCTGTTGAGATGCATTCATTGCTGGAGAAAAGAGATGCCAGTGGGCTGGTGGTTTTCTGCAGGAACAAGGTGGGATGGGTTGTGCACAGACCTCACCCTCAGAATTTACCCTGTAAGTAATGAAGATTAGAACTTGGTCCTCGTGGTTTGCAGTGTTCTCTTTCCCCCATGCCTTGTGCACACAGCTTTCCCCGTGTGTGTGCACACAGCCCTTCCCATATTCATTCTCAACGGTCAAGTTTATGGTTACTTACATTGTATTCAGTTAGTACGGACCAACACATTGTTTTTCAAAAACCTCTTCTTACCGTGTATAAAATTCAGACAACTTCCAAACTATTCGTTACAGTATCTAGATTTTTCTGATTCCCTTGCTGGCTAAATCTTTAGGCTGTGCAATGTTGCAATAGCTTCTTAACGCTTCTTTCAGGGGAGAGGCGTGAAGTCCTGCCAAAAATGCCATGGTACGGCCTGGGAGGTGGCTCAGTCAGTGAGGGGCAAGCATGAGACTTGAGTTTGATCCCCAGAACCCACATGTAGAAACTGGGTGTGAACTGTGCTCTTGTAACCCCAGCACCATGCACACTCTGGGGAGATGGAGACAGCCTGGTCTCTGGGGCTTGCTAGACAGCCAGTGTAAATTACTTGGTAAGCTCCAGACCAGTTAGTGACTCTGTGTCAAAAACAAACAAACAAAAAAACAGAATGGATGGCTGAGGAAGAATGACTCTGACTCCTGAGGTTGTCATCTAGCTTCTGCCTACACACATGCATGTGCACACACACACACACACGCACACACGTGCATGCGTGCATGCATGCACAGGCACACACAGACACACAGAGGCACACATACAACACATACACACATACAGACACATACACACATAAACACGCACACAAACATATGTACCTCCCCTCACACAATGCCACAATAAAATTTTAAATCCCAAATACACTGAGAACAAATGTACCTTTTTATTTTTAAACACACATGAATTTACCATTAAGGTGGGGGAAATTATCACCATGGATTATCCCAGAATTAAGTTTGAAAGAAGGGCAGATGTAACGAAGCTGCCCTGTGTGGGGAGAACACACAGAAAATCTTATTAAAGTCAGTTATGATTGCTAGGAGGATCTACAGACGCTAGCAGAGAAAAGAAAATGTAGAATGCAGGGATGCATCAACACCCCAAAATAACCTTCAATGGTGAAGCCAGAGCCCAGTCCAGCTCCCAACATGGGAAAGAAAGATGTGACCATGGGCTGAAGGCACCACATGTGACAGGGAGGTTAAAAAAAAGGTGGTGGGCCTGTCAACATGAATATAAATGAAGCCCCCTTTACAGGGGTGGGCAGACCCCCTGGCTGTGGGTGGGAAGACTGAAGTTTACACACTGCCAAGCCTTTCACAATATTTTTTTTATACTTAATGCAGTTCAAAACATTCCCAACGGAAACAAATTCACGGCTTCAGCAAATGATTGTAAGGTCTATTTAGAAAAACAGCAGCTCGTAGTTTAAGGAAGACTTGAAAGAGGGAGATGAAAAAAGTAAGATTATTGCTTTGAGGTTTAAGAGTCTAATACATAAAAGGCTGAATCGAGAGAGAGAGAGAGAGAGAGAGAGAGAGAGAGAGAGAGAGAGAGA